CGATCTACTCAACAGTAGCAAAATTGTTAACTTTAACTCTTGAAGTAACGTTTACCTCATATTTTAATAGTATGTAGTGTTTGGTATCGTAATTGCACTTGATAATATGAGTTCATTGATAATATGTGTGTGTGTGTGCGTATGTGAAGCATTGCTTAGTGTTCGAAGTTTGTAGTATTTATTTTATTATATTATTTTCTTCCATTCTGAGAAATTAGATTTTTTTATTTATTAATGCGTAGAATTCTAGCATGCTTACACAGAATATGGCGTGATTTTAGAAATTGATATGATAGGAATTTTAGAAACTGATATGAAAGCTGTGTAATGATTTTCATATGCAATAAAAAATATTCTTCTTTTTTCATTAATGTAAAGTTTAAAATTTTTAGAAATAATGAAAATTGTCTAATTATTGGTATGTAAAGGATTATGTCGTTATGTAGCAAGAAAGTAATTTGTAAAAATGATAAAATTGAAATGTTCCACAATATGAATTTAAATTTAAAAAAATTATTTTATTTGTATAAGTAAAAAAAATTAATAAAAAAAAATAATAATTTAATAAAAATCTTTGAAAATATTGAAGCTCTACAAGTATTAGAGACTGGGACGTTGTTTATCGTTTTAATAATTGGTAGAATTCGCTCACTGTATCATGGTAATTTTAAGTATAAACAATTTATTATACTTATTATCAGTAACGTCTAAGCTTAAATGTTATAAATGTAAATTAAAAGTAAAGAATTTGATATTAATTTACAATAATAAACAATTTATTATTGTTATTTTTAAGAGAAAATAGAAAGTACACGTAGTGTAAATGCGAGACTACATTGTGACGTCATAAGCTTAGTCCCACCCATTTATTTACGTCACACAGCTCCTCCTACTCAACTTTGTTGATGCAGCCTATTCTGCGCTTTTACCAAAAATTGAAACAACAGAAAATAGGTAAAGCCAATAAAATAACAACTAAATTTTTATGTTTAAGTCATATAAATAAATGCAGATTCGCAGAAAGTAAAGGAGCAGGCAAAATAGTTTTTTAAAGAAAAAGAATTCGATTGAAACAACGGATATAGATTTTAATTTATTAACTAAAGATATGATCATTTAAGAATACAAAGAAATCAATAATTACCGTTCAATTAAAAAATAAATATTTAAATCAAATGGCTATATCATTGAAACAATAAAAATTGAGTAATTGTTTACACAATATAAGCTGTAAGGGATTAATAAAGTCTGAAATAATAATAGAATTTCGATATGAAGTTAATTAGAATTCATTTATTAATACGCAAACGAAGACTATATTATCCCACAGCATTATTTTGTTTATCTAATAACAACCGAACGACAAACTACTATTGCCACATATATGCAACTAAATATTTCTTTTTTTGGGCGGCGGAGTGTTCTGACGATACAAAACAGACGTGAGCCTTATATAGCAAATATTTCATAGCAAACGACATGCAAAGCTAAATCAAATAAAAGACAATGAATGGAAAAGATAATCATGTCAATAAGGTATTATCAAATCTATTAATACGACGGCTTAAACGTTATTTATTTAAGGGTTAGTTACATGAATCACCGAAGCCAGCGAGGAATATCAAGATCTTGAATTACCATACGAATATAAATTTTGAAGAAAAATAATTTTTAGGCTAAATAATATATTGGCACAAATCACTGCGAGATTACGCTTTCATCGAACTTTTGAATGAAAAATACGAATATCAACTAAATTATGATAACGATGGCATTAATAAGGAAGAATTCTTCGTTAATAGAGAATTGTTAAAAAAGTTTTATTTCTGTTACTGCTAAGGAAATAGGAATGTAGAAGAGTTGTACTTTTGAACTTTTGCAATTTTTTTTGAAATCCAGACTCCAAAGTAGATATTTAGCATATTTTCTCCCTTATTTTCCTCATAGTTACTCCTCTTCCGCCACAGCTCGAGAGTTATTAGTAGTTTACTCATAAATATTTTCATAAGTAAACTAAAAAAAATTTTAAAAAATTTTTAAAAATTTTAAAAAAAAACTGAAAGGTTCCAGATTTTAAATTACGTCCAAAGGGGGTGTTTTTTTAACATTCTGTGTGTTACCTTAATTTATTAAATATAATGTTCTTCGCATTCAAACCATAAAATTCAGTTCAACAGCAATATTGCAAAATAATTTTTAAACGAGCACATCTTTAGATTTACACAGCCTCGCGCGTTGGAGATTAATTTTTTTACGGTACTATTGCGAACGATTTTTAAAATTGCTACATGTGTTGCTAATTGTGAGAACAATTTTCTGAATAAATAATGGCACACAACTGTATCTTTTGCATCTAAGAAATCTTTCTGCTCTTAAATAAAATTTTTACAGAAGCTGATAGAGCTTTATAAAAATTCTTGTAGAAGTTTTTAAGTAATCCTATATAGAAATGCTTCTCTATAAAATGCTATAGAAATTTTGTACAAAAACTATTCTATACAAAAACTGCTTCGTGGAATCATATAGAAATTTTAAAAAGTCTTTATAGATTGATTTTCTATGGAAATATACAAATCTTTCAAGCTTTACTCAAAGCAATTTTTTAATTTTCTTATATGTTATAATTTAGGATACAAAACAGCAAAAATAAACACTTTTTATTAATAATTGCTGAACTATTTTTGAAAATAGAATTTTTCACTTTCCCCTCTAGTTTAATATTTTCAACTTTTAAATTTAAGTAATGTTTTGTACATTTTTTGCACAGTATTTCATATAGTATAATACAAAAATCAAGTCTTTTAAAGTCAAGAAATAAATTTAAATCAGTAATTTAATTAAAACGTTAAATTGATGCCGATGATTATAAGATTTAAATTCCTGACATTAATTCTTTTAATTATTGTCTGTATATCTATGGAAAGGGAAAGAGTATCTAATTTTAATTAAATTTGACTATTATTTAATTTTTTTAATTTTTTATTATTTATTTATTTATTTTTATGGTTAAATTACTTGCATTCCAAGTGTCCTCTTACCATGTCTGAGATCACTGAAAATTTAGCCAATATTAAAAAATTCCATTAAAAAAGGAAAATTTAATTCATTTTTTTAGTACGAAAAGAAAATTTTGATAATTTCGTAACGTTTTTAGATGACCAAAAACTCCTATATCATCTTTTGTAGAAAATTGTAGTGTAGAATTTTCTAGAAAAGCAAGGAAACTTGTTTAGGGTTCTTTAGACATATATCCCAATTTTCTATAACTAAATCTAATATTTTTTTTGTAGAATTCTATTAGTTGATTCGATATACATTATATAAGATCCTATATTCGGGAATATTAAAAACTTTGTACAAATGTTTAATGTGTAAAAGTTTCTGCAGATACTTTCTTAAATTCTCTATGCATATCTAAATAGAATCTCTGCATATTACTCTATGAAAGTTATATATAAAATTTTCAAAATTCTATAGAAGATCTATGATTTGGTTTATTGAAAATTGGGTTATAATTCTAAAGGATTCTAAAGACGTTTAGCATAGGATCTTTATATATAATTCTGTAAGATATTTTCGAAGGAGATTCTGCGTGCATAGCAACAGTTGGAGCAGTGGAGTAGACCTCTAACAATGTTATACAATTTCAAAATGTTAGAAGGGAAATTTTACTCCAAAAATAAACATAGAGTTTTAACTTATTTCCATATATATAATTGAACATTTCTAAGGTAAATTCAGAGATCACACCAAGTGGCAAAAGTTCTAGCTACGCCAGTGTTGTTATGTTAATCGTATACAAAATGTTAAGTAACTTGAGTATGAGAAAATACAACAAAGAATAAAATATACTAAAATAATGTACCTTTGATTACAAAATCTAAATAAAGAAGTTGTTAACAAAAAACAACAATGAGTTAAAAGAAGTTTTTGATAACTCAACTGGACATTTTATATTGTTAAGAAGTTATTAGTATTTATCATTAGCAGGAACCTTAAAAGTTTTTGTTGTATTGAATGGCATTGGAAAATTCACTGCAATTAAGCTCATGTTTCAGATCTTTCTAAGCTTTTGTAATCTGTTGTAATTTTGATCTATTGTAAGCTTTTAGGGTTGATTCAGTTGTTCTACCACTTCTTCAGGATACTGATTATTGAGAATAATTTTTCGACTGGTGCTGATGATGCTGAAAATGTATTCTTTTATCTGAGCAAAAAATGGGCAATTTTTTTTTTTTTTTTTTTTTTTTCAAGTGGCTGAAAAATTGCTTCTAATTTTTTTTCACTGATTTTATTTTTTCAAATTTCAGAATTGGCTGTACTGTTTAATATCCAAATAAAAGATTCTGCTGCACCAAAACTGTTTCTTCGTAATTCAGTGTAAGAAAGACATCTGTTATTTTTTTGGAAGAACACATTTAAACAGAATTAAATCTAGATTCAAAATATTTAAATTAGAAATAGTGAGTTTAACAAAGGGAATTATTTTAATTGCCAAATCACCATTTTACGCGAGATTGCTCTGTTTTCTTCTTCTGTATTCGACACTTTTGAAATTTTACCGAATAACCGAAACAAAATGAGTAACCGGGCGTACGCATCAACAAACCGGGAGAGATCTCGGCGGTGTCGGACAGACCCGGCCATACGGGAAACCTGGTAAGCTTACGGATAACCTCATTTTATCCCCGTGTTTTCGACTCGCTAAATGATCGATAGAGCGCCATTTATGCCAAAATTCGTAAGCAGTATGCGAGGATGCATGAGTGCAATTTCTTAAAGCCCTTCTCGTTTTTTAAATCCCTTTTAATTGTTCTTCGTCTATCATTTAATTTATTAATTTATTATTTTCTTTAATCTTATATATTATTTGCTGTTTCGTAATTACTAAGCGTTCATATTCGTTTTACACAACACGGATAATTTTTAACCTTCTGTTTTTACCACCGAGCGACCGCTTGGCGTTTTATTGCTCTGTGACGTCAATGATGACGTCAAATTCCGTTTCTGCGCGTGTTTACAATTGAGGATCTTAAGGAGCGACTGATCAGACGGTAGCATATGTGTGATTAAAATGGAGTGAATTCCGTCTCGAATCGCAATAGCATATGTAGATCAAAATATGTTTTGAAATTCCGTTCTACTTCTTTCTTAATTCTTTGCTTTTTCTGAGCAGTGGAAAGCTGATTACATTTTAAAAATGGTTAGGTTTCGGTTAGAAGATATATGTCTGTTGTATATACGCGAAAATTTCAAGATTTTTAATCATGCTTATTTGGTGTCTGAAAATGAAACCCTGCAGGCGAATTTGGGATTCTTGCGTAAGCTCATTTTAAATATTCTTTGTGTTTTGATTTGAAGTACCTAAACTTGTAGAAGTTGGTTCCAGTGTATTATTCATTTGTAAGATAATTGATTGAGAAAAATTATATTACATAAATGTTTATTACTAGAAATCTTTTGATTCTGAAAATTAACGGTAATCCGTAGGTTTTCTCCATTACCTTTACGAAAATAGATCAGAATAGAAGAATATTTTTTATAGAATTCTGTAAAAAAGACTTACGGTAAACGTTTTTTAGAATTCTTAAAACTATCACCAAATTTTTTACAAACTAGGCTAGAGATCATTTATAGAATTCTGTAAAATGTTATGTAAAACTTCTGTAGAGTTATGTACATAGACTTTGTAGAAATATGTGTAGGTATTTTATGAGATTTGTGCTGAGATTCTATACAAATTTGTACAGTTTCTAAACTTCTCACGCATTATATAAATTAACTAATAAAAAAACACATGAAAATAGCAATAGATCCAGTTCAACTCTTTAAAAATATCAGATCCAATTAGTAGACAATTGCGCTATATTTCTAAAGAATTCCTAAAGTTTCCTTGCTTCAATTTTCTATAAAAGATACTACAGAAACTTTTAAGTATTTAAAAGCATTTTAAAATCAGCGATTTTTTTTTAGATAAATTTTCATTTTAATAAAGTTTTCTAACCTAAATTTTGAGACAATGTGTCACATGGGGGACAGATGTGGTTTTTAATATTGTTTCGATTTAAAAAACGTAAGTAACAATTAAATTTGATTATACCCCCATAGCACAGAATATCCTCAGGACGTCCTATTTTAGTCGCAATACCCCGGGACATACTTAAGATATCTTGAGTATGTTGATTCTCAGGTGTCCTGAGGACATCGTAATTTAACATCCTGAGGATGTTATATTTAAGTCGCTATGTCCCGGAATATGAGAGGATGTCCTGAAGATGTTGATTCTCAGATGTCCTGAGGACCACTCCAATTTCACATCCTGAGGATATTCATTCATACTGCATTGTCCGGAGGACTTTGGTTGTCAAATATTCTGAGGATATTTATTCTCAAATTTACCAGTTTTAGTTTTTTGACATTGTACATCTGAAGCATGCATATCATTCAGTTTTCATATTATTGTTTGTTGTTTCTAAATGTTATATATTAAAAATATTGATATTGATGAATATTTATATGATTGAGATTTAGTCTTGTTATTTTGTTATTAATTTTAACTGCTATTTTTTTTTTTTTTTTTTTTTTGAAAGTTACTTTTTACGTTTTTTACGTTTAAAAAAATTTATTTAGGCATGGGAAAGATTGTTTTTCAATAGATTAGCATTTCTAGAATATTTGCTAAATTCTAAATAACATATATTTTTTATAAAAAATGTTTCGCTCTAGTGTGTAGAATTGGGTGCCCCTTCGATTAGCGACAATTTTTTGTAAAATTTTGGCGATGAAATCTTATTTCTGGTTACCATGATAGTGCAACTTTGCTTTAGCCTCCTGATTTTTTAAAAATAAAAATAGATTGATAAGTGAAAACAAATCGAAGTGTACATAGACAGAGAGTTTATGCAATTCTTTGACTTTTTATTTTGGTTTTGTGTAGCGGCCATGTTGAAATTATGTCTTCCTGGCGCCAATCTTGGCATCAAAAAAGAATCGCCAAAAACAAGGGGTACCCAATTGTAAACTTTTACCTGTTAAATTACATGTATAATTGCTTGCAGATTGCAAACTCTACTATAAATATAGGCAAAATTAGACACTCTAATTACAGGACGGGAAATGCTTTTCAATCGCGTACACTGTTATTGATATTGAATTACAGTCGTGCGATAATTTCGCAGTAAAAATAATTCTCTCTGATGACTATCCAGATTCTAGAAGCTTTGGTCTTAGGAAACCAATTTTCTTATCAAGAGTACATACACAATGATTAAAAGCTTTTATGTGGGGAACTAAAACTATAAAATTAACAGCATAAATTTAATTTTTAAATTAATTTTATGATTTAAATTCATTGTACTTCTTTATAAGTTGTGTATTATATGAGCAATATCATACGAATAGAATAATAAGTTATGTAAATAGCATTACTGATCAGCCTTAGTGTTGATAAAAATCCACTTTGATAGAATAGACTATTCACCAGTAGCTTACCGCATCCCTTCTCGGCTCCTTTGAGTTTGCCAATTTCTATGCCAATTTCTAACGGCATTCCTCATCCCAGCTTTATTATTTCCACTGTTAATTTTTTTGGCACGAATTTAAATTTATTAACCAAATTAATAAACTTGTTCCAGACTGCTTATACCTTGTAATTCGTGTATTGGTTTATAAATATTTTCTTATTGCATTTTTTTTAAAAGAGACTTTTTTGTAGAGGAGGCACTTTTAATTTTCGAACGTGCTAAAAATATTTATTTATTTATTTATGCATACCATAAATACCATACTTCTACGATGCATACCATAAATAAATATTTATTAAAAATATTTATTTATTTATTTAGTACCTTAGTTAATTTTGAGTGTACAGAAACAAAAGAAAATATTCTGTTGGGGAAGAGGTTTTGTCACTGGCCTCCTCTTGTAAATACAGCTTTTCCGTATGTATTTTTATTTTTTATTTCCACTTAATGGACTCTTTTATTAGAAGTTTGTTTTGCCATTTTAATTTCTCTAATTTTTCTAATTTTAATTTTAACAAAAGCAAAATGTATTTATAATTTTAACAATTGCAGTATTATTATTTCATATATTTGCTCTCTCTCTCTCTATAGATATAATACAAAATAAAATAAATATTCATATAATGCATAATTCACATAATGCAACATTGTTCATATAATTCACATAATGCAAATAAAAATAAATATTCATATATAAAATTCAATTTTTTATGCTTCTCTCTCTCTCTCTCTCTCTATATATATATAGATATATAATGCAAAATAAAATACGCTTAAACTTCATCCCATATTCAGTTTGGAACAAACCACATGCAAAAACCAAAAACCCGAAGTAGAGTGGCAGACTGCAAGAAATAGATGGAGCGAAACATGGCAAAGCCGAAACTCAAACATAAAACTTACATCACGGGGCTGGTGCAACGAAAGACCCTGATGACGATGTTGCGAAAGATTAAGTTTCATATTTACATGTTTTGCTTCCTATTACTTCTTGCATTTTGCCACTGTATTTCTGATTTTTTTAGTTTTTGCATATGCTTTGTTCTGAATTAAATATGGGAGAAAATTTAAGCATATTTTTAAATTTTAATTTGCATTATTACTACCACCTGCTGCTATCAGCACGCAATTTGGATTACGTTTTGAACCGCTTTGTATTTATTCATTTATATACGAAATGAAATTGGAAGAAGCTCGTTGTAATAACGTGGCATGGTAGATAAATGCATAAACCAGAAACTTGCAGACGTTCGATGAAATCGTTTCCTTTCTATTCATGGTTGTCAAACATTTTTATTTAATACAACACAAATCAAGAACGCGAAAAAGATATTTTTTGAAGCAGTAGTCAGCAGAAGTTGCTACAGCAAACCGGAAGAGAACGAAGAGAAGAGAGATGCTTTGGTGGATATTCTGGTGTATAGCAGGAGTTAATCCTGCTCCTTACCAGATCACTTAAGGAATCTCACGTGGAGCCTCGCTTTTGAAGGATCATATCTCTGAATCCCACAGAGGTGATATTAGAAGGTCTAGAAAATAGTGAGGTACGTTGCCTGGGTAGCATCACAGGCGGGTGAAAAAATGAGATGAACTGGTCTGAGCGTCCAATCGGGAGCTTCATAGTACAGTCAAATGGCCCACCAGCGGCCGAGTGGTAAAGTCGCTGAACACTGGTAGTTCGGTCCGAGGTTCGAATCCCGCGAACGGGCTGGCTGCATGGGCGTTTTCGTGGTTTTCCTCATGTGTAACGTGTATACGAGCCAGTTTCCCTTAGAAAGTCCTCCACGAAGGCATCCCTCCTCTTAGGCAGATAGCCCTCGAGGCTTTGCCATACTCACATGATTACAGAATAGCAGTAGAAAACAATAAAAAGTTATTTGCCGTATATGTTTGCAGTCTTGTAATATCTCAAATTGTAGTTTCCTACAATTTGTAGGAAATTCAAACATGATGTGAGCAAATACGGCAAAAATAAAATAATTATTAGTAGGCAAACCGTTCACAAATTTAAAGTATTTCTGGGATGTCGGTAAGCATTATTGTGATATCCAATCCGGTGCATGGAGTAGTCACGTGGGGATTCATTCATTCATTCATACACATATTGCCGGGATGCTGCTAAAACTATGTGGCGTGTCCGGCTCGTTGATAGATATGCCTTAGGGGCGCATGGCGGTGGAAAACCGGACGAAGTAAAGGGAGGTCGGAGGCAAGAGAAAAGGGGCGACCATGCGTCACACGAAGAGAAGATATGACCAGGAGAAGTGGAAATCGCGCAAAATCAGATAGGTATATGTTCATGACAGGTACATATGAAATAAATACAGGAAACAAGACAAATTATAAACTAAATATACTATATACACAATACATACAATTCAAGATACAAAACACATACAAGTAAATGGAAGTAATATACATATGTACAAAATGCGTGCACTTAAATTAAAAGGTAAGTGGGGAAATTTGCATCTCTGGCAAGATGTGCAGCATACGGTCATAATTTGTAGTCCATCTGTAATGGAATGTAATCGAAAATTTAAAAATGTGTTAAGTATGGGTAGTTAATCGCCCTGTCGAAGAACGGTGTTGAGACGGTGAAGATATTCTTCCACACGTTCTATTTTTAAATCTCTGTGCATTATATCATCGGAAACAAATTAGTCGGCATTTGTCATTAATCTTAAGGCTTTGTTCTGTAATACTTGCAACTTGTGCATGTCCTTCTGTGTGGCTGCCGCCCAGCCTGGCAAAGCATAAGAAAAATAGGCCGAATGTTAGATGCCTTTTCTTTGACA